CTTTTGAACTTCTAGTTCACATTCTTTTGTACGAGAATCCAGGAAATCCAATGAAATTTTTCAATGATTTCTTTTTTTAGGATTTCCTTTTTTGGTTGATCTTTTTCTCCTCCTAATGTCGGAAAATGTGATTCATTAAAATGACAATCTGCAAATCTTGTAGTAAATAAATCACCTACCAATGGTTCAATATACTTAACTATAGAAGGTGATTCATACCCGACATATATTCCCAATCTTCTTTAAGGGCCCTATTTATGACGTTTGGGCGGTGCAATAGGAGCATAAATAGCACAATCAAATATTCGTAAATGAGAAATATTAGACTCAGAACCAAATACTAATTGTAGGGGAGAATAATTATGATAATTAGTCGGCTAATTCTCACAAGTGTTGTTGCATGTAATATAGCATGTCCTCAAGTAAATAAAGAAAGTTTAGACCTCATCAACAATGGTTTAGCAATTAATTGAAATCTTTTAATAAATGACTCGGCTAGACCATTTTTTGTATGAATATAGGCTACATGATGTTCAACAGTTATTCCAATGGACATGCAATACTCGTCAAAAGCATGTGACGAATATTCACCAACATTTTCTAGACGAATTCTTCTAATTGGATAATCAGGAAACTGTACTCGTAATTTAATTATCTGAACAAGTAATCTCGTAAACGCTAGGTTGCGAGTAGATAACAAACATACTTGTGACGATCCAGTTGATGCATTAATTAGCACCATAAAATACCGAAATGGTCCACATGGTGGATCTACAGGTCCACATATATCACCATGAATTCGTTCCAAAAATGTAGGGGATTTAGTCCCAACTTTAACTTGTAATGGTCTAATAATTAATTTTCCTTGGGAGCAAGCAACACAGGAGAATTCATTTGCTTTTAATATCTTTTGATTTTTCAATGAGTGGCCATGCGAATTCTCGGTTATTCGTCTCATCATTATAGATCGAAGATGTCCGAGACAATCATGCTAAATTATAAAATTATTGGAATAAATATACTTCTGGTCTACTAAATGATAAATTTCAACTGCACTAATTTGTGCATAATATAAGTCAGAAGAAAGTGAAAGTAATTTTTCTAATACATATTTTCCCCTAAAAATAATATTTGTAATTAATAAAAATTCATCATTTGTCTCATTTATTGTCTCGAGGTGATATTCATTTTGGCGGATATCTCTAACACTCAATAAATTTTTTTGAGACTTAGGAGAGAGTAATGCATTATTTATGACAATTTTAGTTCCTGCAGGGAGAAATAGAATGGCTCTTCCGGAATTTTCAATCAATTTTGCACCACCACTGATGGTATTAACATTTGTCTCTCCCATTTTCAAATAAGAAAAATATTTTTTATTTTTCATCAATAATACAAATGTCATTATCATTATTATTTAATCCCAAATATTTGATATCCAATTCTTCTTCAGAAAGAAAATTTCAAACAAAAATAAATATTAATAAAGATGTGAAAATAAATATTAAATAGAAAAAAAAATGACATGAAAGATATAAAGTATCATAAAATATCTAAATAATTATAAGGTATTTGTTGACATCTTCAAGATGTTCAAAGAAATCAATTACATCGAGATGTGTCATATCAACATCATCCCTATCATCATAATTATTTTTTTGGTCGATAAAATTTGTCTCGACATTTTTGTTTTTTGTTTTTCAAAGATACTTGATAAAGGTCAACAAAGTGGTCAGCTGTATGACAGGTACGGGACCAGGACCTTCCATGCCACACCGATAGCATTTTTCTTCATAAACTTTTTTTCTCCATTTTTCTGATCATAGTTATTATTCATCTCTTGGGGAATATTTTGTTGTTTGCCACGGTTATAATTTTCACGGGGCACAAATTTACTATGATCACATCTACGGCTACGACCACGTCCACGGCCACGACCTCGATCAGAATTTCAAAATTGAGTCGCATTCGCTTCAGGGAATGGACTTGCACCAGTCGATCGGGACTCATGATTTTTCAGCAATAATTCATTATTTTGTTCAACCAAGAGAAGACATGCAATGAGTTCAGAATATTTTTTTAATCCCTTCTCTCGATATTGCTGCTGCAGGAGCATGTTAGAGACATAAAAAGTAGAAAATATTTTTTCTAACATATCTTCATTGGTGACTTTTTCACTACCTAATGATAATTAAGAAGTAATTCTGAATATGGTTGAATTATATTCATTGACAGATTTAAAATCTTGTAGCTATAAGTGAAGCTAATTATATTGGGCTTTTGAAAGAACGACCAACTTCAGGTGATCGAATTTTTCTTTCAAATCTTTCCAAAGAACAAGAGGATCTTTAACAGTAAGATACTCTATTTTTAATCCTTCATCTAAATGACGATGAAGGAAAATCGTAGCCTTGGCACGGTCTTGGTTTGAGGATTCATTTTTTCAACAATAGTATTACCAAAACTCATGACTTCAAGATGAATTTTAACATCCAATACCCATGAAAAATAATTTTTTTCAGAAATATCAAGAGGTACGAATTCTTATTTTGTAAGGTTAGCCATAAGAAATTGAAATAGATTTATAAGTTAGAAATTTACCTCAATATGTAGTCAAAAGTTATTCGGGAAAATACCCAATTGTTGATTCGATATTGGTAGAATCTCGACAGAGCCTTGTGATTCACTTTTGCTCAGAAATAGAGTCTTGTGCTGATAACGTGTTATAAAACTAATAAAATAACAAGATGTGGGGTAAAATAAAATAGAGAGAAGCCGATAAAAGTAGAGAACTATTCTTTCTTCTATTCAAAATCATCAAGAAGGTTACCGAGAGATGTTCAATCACCTCTCATCTCTATTCTCTATTTATAGAGAACACTTGAATAAAATGAAAATATTAACCTCTAAATATAAGAGATGTTACAAAATTGATTGTATAGGAAAACCAAACCTTCATCTATACCAACTCTTTTATCTTTTAGAGAATTCAATAGACATAAGGAAGCTTAATAAACATAGGAAAGTTTGATGGACATTCACTCCCATTTAATTGTTTCATAACAGAAAAGATTATAATTTCAAATCTTCTGTCCTCAAATTAGTCTCTATCCCCTCTGTCTCTTCTTTGTACAGCTGCTACGTGTCTTTAACTTTTTGATAACCCAAATTCAAATAAATCGATAATAATCAGTTGACAAATTTTCTCAAACTTGGGTAAACTTTTTTAGTAAACTTTTGGGGAAGAAGCTAATTATTATTAGTTTGTTTGAGTTTGAGTTATCAAAAAGTTAGAGACATATGGCAGTTGTACAAAGATGAACAGAGGGGATAGAGACTAATTTAGGAATAGAAGATTCGAAAGCCATTATATAGGAATAAAAATGAAGTGGCAAAAACTTTGACATGCATTTAAGGGTGAAAATGTATACATGATCAGTGTACATAAAATTAATCAAAATACTTATAAGAAGATGGACAAACAATCTTTAAAAACTTTTGTTATAAACAAATTGTGGAACCATTAAAATTTGGTTATATTTCATGAAATCATGGGTAATTTACACCTCTAAGATCAATTAGAACCCTAAAAACTATTTAATGTATTCATGAATCAACATATCATATCAGGAGGCACATTATTTGTTCTGAAGCATATATACATAACAATACTTGTTTTTTGGGGTAAGTATACATACTAATACTTGCACCTCTAACGTACACCAAGTGCAGTTCCAAAATAATACTAGATTTGTAAGAAAATCAACCTAAAGCATCAATTAAAGTACATGGAAAATCTAAATTTCGGAATCACAAGACAAATCACCATAGGCACTACTAATTGAGTTGTTTGTTAATAGGCGCATTTGTCAGTTCTTGATTATGCATTCTTAATTTGGTCCGCAAAAAACACAAATGAGATCAATATTCTTACCCCAAAAAACAAAAAAAAAAAAGTTCTGCTTTCAAGCATATATGAATGCAGGTATCTAAACACACATGCAAAAATTGAAGTTTAAATACCAAAGCAGAAGCAGCATCGAAGCGACTTTTCGCCTTAAAACGCCCAGCATAGTAGATTTTGATCTCCTAAAGCTATTTTAGACAAAATATAAAGTAACCAAATTCATAAATTTCAATCTTAAGAATACAAATTCAGAAAAAAAAAATCAAAATTATGAACAAGCCAAAGCAGCAAGCAGAATAAATAAACAAACAAGCAAAATGATTGCGATCTGCGGAGGAAATTTAGAAAAAAAAAGGCATTCTCATTTAAATTCCAAAGCATGAATATGACAAGAAAAGCTTAGACAAGTGAGTGTAGATAGAAATAACTTCATTAATTTGTAAAAGATAAAAATATGCTACATCCAATGTTCAAGAATGAAACCACAAAAAGAACAAAGTAGTCACCAAATATCAACTTTGCCTCTTGAAGTTCGCAATCTTAGTGCTAATCAACTACAAGGGACGGCTACTTGCAGCCATTCATCTGGTGGTAATGGCAATCTTCCAAATATGTCTTTGTTCCCTCCTTCAACGGATTGCAAAATATCCTCCCAAGTGATTGAATCTGACAAGTTGTCCTCCGCTACTTGACCTTCTTGACTTGTGGTAATCATCTGGCCATCACAATCAACTGATGATGATGGTTGTTCAGAGACTTGCACTTCAAAGGGCTGTTTCGAATTTTCAAGATTTTCGCATATATGTTCTGAATTTTTCCATACCAACAATGGTCGGATTGAACCAATGTTTTTTAGTATAGGATGAAGCTTCTTCTTGGACGACTGATCCCAAATAATCACCATTCCAATATGTCATTGACTGTACACCCTCATCCAGCAATAGACCTGTATATGTTTGTACCAGTCTTGTATCTCCATCATAGTCACAATTGACCAAATTAGGCAGTTCCATATGTCCGATTGCCTGGGTTGTTATTAGCGAACTCTTGGCCTCATCCATTGGATTCCTAGGATTGTTACACGACCTCTTACTCACTTGTGAACTTTCTTGCCCAAGACAACTTCACAGCGTACACGATTTCCAACCTCTTTTTCTTTCGCAATCTTTCCTTTCTTTCTAGATTCTTTGACTTTGGTATACTTAGAATCATCCTTTATTGTTCTGCAAGGAACATAATCAGTATTATGACTGTTGTTTAACCCATTCAATGACGCACCATCGACCAAATACTCATGCATTATCCAGCCAACTTTCACCCGTTTTGAACCTGAATTCAAAACATAACTTAGCATCCTCCTCGAACCAATTTTCTCGCCAGTAATCATATCCTCAACTAGGTATGACTTTGTTTCTTCGTCCCACATCCCCAAACTAGTCGTTCTTGCAGTTTTCTTGGAACTCAATTTCTTCAACTTGGTAAAGACACAGACCATTCTTTTTGTACTAGCCCCTTTTCCACTGTCATCATAGAATTGCCAACAAACATCATCATCCCCCAAAACATCCCAGGGTTCTGCACTTTCACCGTAAAGTATGTTTTCCTTGACATGGTCCGTTTCATCAAGCTGGTTTGCAACCTTCAGCCAAAGTAGGAAGATCAGTTCTTCCTCACTAGGTCTAAAATGAAACCCTATAGGAATGTTATCAGCCATTTATCTATCACTAAAGAATAGATGATTTATATTGTAGATGCTGATGCTGATGATGTATAGTATATATAGTTACAGATTTTCCTAGGAGCAAAATCCACCAAGAAAATGGATTAGGAAAGTTTCCAAAGCATGCTAGCCAATGACATTGACTGTCAGGACTTAAAATAAAATTCCTATATTTTATATTGAACCCTAATTTAATTTAAATTACACATTGAACCCTCTTTTTATCTTCCAGGCACTCTAGCCCCCATGACCCAACCACCTATGAGATTCCAATGAACTAACAATCAACCACCCGATTCTGGTAGATGAAATCAAACATTTTAAGCTTAAAAAATATTAAAAAACAGAAAAATATTCAAATTTCACCATAACTTTTTCAAACTCTAGTTCAAGCTAGGCGATTAAGAACCTTCTCACATAAAAAATCCAACAAAATTATTCAAAATTCATGAATCTGTAACTATCCAATCACAAATTGGGTTAGATCGAATAAAAAAATCGTACCAAAGGTAGCCATTGGTTCAATATTGCTGAACTAAAGAAACACTTTCTATTGGCATGTCTTGATCACTTTCCATTGCTATTTCTTGATCAAATTTTGGAGAGGCTAGTTGGTTATGAGTTTTATTACTTTTTTGATGTATCCTCAGATTATAACTAGGTAGTTATAACTTCCTAGAATCAACAGAAAGCTACATCCACTCGTCCCATGGCACATTTGTCCTTGGAAGGATACTTTTCAAATCGTGCAATGCTCCTACCATATTTCAACATTGTATGATGGTCATTTTTCTGATTATATTGAGAAAATCCTATACTACTAAACACCACCACCCATCCCAAAAATAAGAAAATAAAGGAAAATAGATAACGTAAAAGCAGAAATCAAGTTGCCTCCCGATAAGGGCTAAATTTAATATCTTCATCGAGACCGGGAAAATAATCTTACTTCATTTATTGCATGTGCGTAAAATAATTCGTAATTCTTCTTATCAATATTTCACTTTCGAACCACCAAAGAAATAAATTGGCAATGATTGAAGGAAGGCCTAGTCCCTAAATCCTGCTCCGTAACATGTTCCTTACTATGAAAATTGTCAATAACATGAATACACAAATAAGACTCATCATAAAAAGAGCATTTTAAGGGTTTAAAAACATTAAATTCTCATTTTTCCTTACTAAACCTTAAAATTAACTTTCCTTTCAACAAATCTATGTTAGCCCCTCCTATAGCTAAGAAAGTTCTACCAAGGATAATAGGCATAGTAGTGTCTTGCTCCATATCAAGAATAAGAAAATTGGTAGAAAAGTAAAATTTACAACTTTAGCCAACATATCTTCTACAATACCAATGAGCTATCACGCTGAACAATCCGCAAGTTGTAGAATCATCTTTGTAGGTGCAAGTTTAGCAAATTTTAATTTCTTGCAAAATGATAAGGGCATTAAATTAACGCTAAAGCTCTGATCAGATAAACATTTATCAATAAAATATCTTCAAAATAACAAGGCAGGGTGAAACTCACTGAATCTCTCATCTTGATAGAAAGAAGAATATATAGAATTGCACTATACTCCTCAGTAAGGGATATCCTTGTGAAGTCCTCTAATTTCTTCTTGTTCGAGATTATTTCCTTTAAGAACTTTGCGTATGATGGCATATTTGCAAGAACTTAAAAAAAAAGGCATATTCACTTGGAACTTTTTATGCATCTCTAAAAAATTTTGATAATGACACTCGTTTGCTTTTTTCTTGAGCTTTTGAGGGTGTAGAATGGGTGGCTCATAACCTTTAACCGCAAGCAAATTGACGGGATGGTCTTCTATATGAACTTCTTTGCCCAACTCTTGCATTTTACTCCTAGTTCTTTCACCTTCATGAACAATCTCTATTGCATATTTCTTCTTCCATGCGTCATTAGATTTAACTGCAAATGAGATCATCCAATACTTTCCTGAGCGAAAGGTCGCTACTACGGTAGTCTTTTTGGAATTCACTTTTGTTTTGTTAGGCAATCTTCCCCATTCTCTCACTGTTATTGCTTTTGCTAATTGACCGACCTACCTCTCAACATTCTGGATTGATGTTTTTTGGGATTGGATAAGATAGTCTGTTTGATCAATCACTTGATCCAGTTTTTGCATGTATTGCAGCATCATTTCTTCGAAATTAGACTTTTTCTCTTAAATAGGCTGGGGAGAGTGTTGAGAGGTCTAGTACTAATTTTGGAACTCAGGTGGTTCCGTAGGTCTGATCCCTTGATTTCTCCATGAAAAATTAGCATAATTTCTCAACCTTTTATTGTACGTGTTAAAAAAAAAGATCATTCCTTGACTGCAATTTTTGCCTACCATATGCTTTAGCAAAATTCATATCTTTCACTATGGTAGGATATTCTCCATTGTAGTAGGCAACAGTACTATGCCCGTATATGTGATAATATGAGCATGATTCTTGAGATTGAGTTTCCCAATTTAAAAGTAGCAGTATCTGATGACTCAATTTAGCAACCTATGAACCCGAATCTATTGATGTACCCACTTCATGAACTCCTACTCTTTCACTCCGAATTACTTTTTACTGAGAGTTACTGAATAGCAACTCATAAAGACCTACCAAGTCCTTTAGGGTTTTGTCTCCAATATAACCTCCAGTTGCAATATTCACCATATTTTAGGTTGTTAATGACAACCCATCACATAAGAATTGCACTTGCAATACCAAAGAATATTGATGTAGGGGACACTAAGTGAGTGGTAGCTTGAATTGTTTCCATGCTTCATGAATCAGCTCTCCTTTCATCCGAGCAATAGTATAGATATTGTTTCTCAAATTGATGGCCTTTTGAAGTGAGTAATACTTCGTCATGAAAATGTTGTAGATATCTTCCCATATTCTCAATGATCTTTTAGGCAGAGTAATCATAATTTTGTACGATCCTTATGATAGTATATGAAGCATCTCATCTGTAGGTCATCCTCTGAAACTCCATTCAAAGGAAACATTTAGACCACCGAATAAAATTCACAGATGAAAGAGAATAGTTCCTCATTCGCTAACCTATGAAAAGAGGACAACATGGTGAAGTGAACATTCTTGAGCTCATATTTCCTTGCTCAATCACTCAAGTGAATACTACGAGGAGAAGCTATGATCACGGTGTAAGACTTGCCTCTTTTTAAGGCAATTATTGTGACGCCCCCACTTCTCCCTAAGGCGAACCAAAGGGTATCCGCGGGACGCCTGCCCATCTCTCGCCAGGGCTCAAGCAATTTCCGTCCAAGCTTAATACAATACTAAACGTTACGATTAAATATCATAAATACAATCAGTGCGTAAGCATTCAAGCTTATCAATATTCAACATCTGCCCAATCATTACATCGGAATCTCGAAATACATCAATATTCAAAATATATATATATATCAATCACAAGTCTAGCCCCAAAGTGCAACGGAAACCCTAAAAACAAGAGTATGCCAAGAGGGGTTTCTCCAACATTCCTCCAAGTCCAATCCTGTTAAGGAAAACAAATCTACAGGGTGAGCAAAACGCTCGTGAGGCCAAGAACACACATGCAAGCACATTGTTCAAATAGCAATCCCAAATATTGCATAAAACCGTGATGTTTCAATAATCAACCATTCGAACAGGAAAAGTAATCAGAAACAATTCAAGGATATAGTAGCTCTCAGGAGCTAAGTTCCACTCGCTCTGCCGATGTCATTCGTATACCTTCCCGCGTTGACCCTCCTGTCAACCGGGTCGGTATTTCCATTTCCGTAGATCACCACTTACTTCTCTCCGTCCACCGTACACCCCAAGGGCCCACAAGTCTATTATAAGGCGATACTCTACGAGTATGCCAAGCAAGACCTCTTATTAGGTCGAGCTTATATATCTCATGGCTCGCCTAGGTTCCCGACCAAGCCCATTGTCGGCTCGAGTCCAAGGTCGGCCTATGAGTTTGGGCGTCCCCTATTCATTTGAAAGTCGAGGAGGTTCACTCCAACGACATATGTAATCATAACATAACATTGCATTTCATTCATTTTCAATACGTTTCATTCATTCAATACATTTTCATTCATTTGAAATTAGAACGAGTGCGATAAAGTACGCACCCGCCCTTATTTTTTTAAAATTCCCAACAATTACCACAATTAAGCAAGTATCAAGAATACACACACTTGACACTCACCGAGCAATTCAATAGGGTTATTCTTTGGAGATTCAAGTGTCCACAGTGAGATCCTCTTGAAGGTCTCCTTGTGCGCCTGGCAATTAATAGCGGATAATCACACAAATAACCCACTTATCAAGGAAGATTGTACTCTAGTACAATCTAAAAATTATTTCACAAAAGGAACCTCAATTACACGCAAATCGATGTTCAACTAGCCTTTTATTATGTACAATATTATTTGAGTTTTTATCACGAAAAGCGAGGGGAAAACGTTTGAATAATACTAAGAGAATTAAGAATTTTGGAAAAACTCCTTTGCCTTGAAAATTGAGAAATTTCAGTTTTATCCTAAATCTTTGAAAAATCGTAACTCGCTCGGCATAAGTCAAGAATTGGAAAACTTTATACTGTTGGAAACCTCTTAGAAAGTACTATAAGTTCCTAGAAGACACTTTTCCATGAATCAAAGTGAAAAGTGTTCAAAAATGAGCTTGAAGATGCAGGATTGGTTTACAAGGCAGAATTAAGTTGGATTTCGGCCAACTTTGAAAATTCGGCACGATTCACACGTTGCAAACCAGCCTCTGAAATTTGTCACTCAATTAGAGTTGCAAGCGAGGTTTATAACGAAACAAGCGGATCAAGAATCAGAGTTTCGAGTACCGAGATACGGTAGCTCAAAGTTGGGGAAATTCAAGACTAGAGAAGAATTTCCAGATTTGAACCTCTAACTTTAATAATTTAATTGGGTATTGAAACGAACTTGGATTGGTACCAAAATTGGCAGTATTTTACTCCCATATG